TTGTTCAAAGCCCTTCCCACTTGAAGTAATTAAAGTCCTGGTCTAGACGGGGTATCCAGATAGATACACGTGATGTAAATTAAACCATGTCATTGGCCGAAATGCTAGGAATATCTAATGATGTATGAGAAACCTTTTTAATATACAACCGGCCCCAGGATGGTATATTGGTTGACACCTTTTCTTTCTTGCCAATCTCAAGCAGCCAGTCTCTCAAAATTCCCGGAAATATCGTGCACTTTGGCAAGACTAAAACGTGTTTGAAAAATTCATCAAATCTACATTTTTATAATTTAAGTGAATATAACAATCGTATATTCGTTACGAAAGCGCCAAAGTAATTATTTTGTCAATAATAATATATTACCATCCACATGTTCATGGTAAATAAATTCAATCAAGAGTTGTGTCTAATGTAAACGCGAACAGTCTCTGATCGTTCACATTTATTATTATTGCAGGACAAAATTCCTTAGCGATGGCTGGATGGCCGAACATAAATTTATCGAGTTAAATGTTCCAGATAATTCAAGTAAATTATGGTAAGTCACTGCATGGGCGAAAAAATTGCACACTCAAAGTTGCAAATAATTTTCCTTTTACATACAGTCAGCCGTTGTTATAGTCGGAGACGCTTTGTTATACTTCTATATATATATAGTAAAACCTTTCTGTTCGTTTATTAAACCATAAGCAAACCATTAAACCATAACGTCTGTACATAAAACAATTCTACAAATTAAACATTTGTTAACATTAGGATGTTAGGATTATACTATAAAGGTCAAGGGTGGGTTGACTACAAAATTTGTGTAGTTCGCTATAACTACAGTCTACAGCTACTTCAAAAATATGTAGTCATGCAGCTACAACTACTGCTACTTTTGAACAATTCAGGTAATTCGCTACTGACTACAGCTACTGCTTAAAAAATGGCTACGCTATATTTTTTAGTTTTACTGTATTTGGAGCATCTACTAACTCAGGCTGAAATGTAACTTATAACAAATCGACTTACGAGTAGCAACAGTAAACACAAAGCAACATTTTTGTAAGCACTACAGTGTTCAAGAGTGCAAATTGACTTTTGAATGTTGATTTTAAGCACACCGTGTCTCAATATAATGCTATTCTATCAAGTTGCTAACAATTTTAAAAAGTAGCGAATAGCGATTCGCTGTTTGAAAAGTAGTCAACTACTTGGCTACTTTTAGGCAAAATGTAGTTCGCTATAACTACAGCTATTGTTTTAAAAAAGTAGTCAACAACTACTGGCTACATGAAAATTGTAGTTCGCTACAGTAGCGAACTACAACTACTTCGCTACTACCCACCCTTGATAAGGGTTAGGTGTAGCTACTGTATAAAATAAAAGTTCTTTGGAACAGAGTGTTAGAAGTAAATGGTAAGTGTTCGCTGTAAATTGGGGAAAATTATATTAAAAGCAATTGAGCCATGAACTGATAATTTTATATAACGTTTCAGGTGGTGGAAAGAAAAAGTCAGTTGTCTGGATCTCAAACCTCTTGTATCAGTTCTCTCGTCAGTGACATGTCAGCAAGTCGTTGATATATGCAGCAAGTTAGTAATTTATCTGTGCTAAATCTTTCTAGGATGCTTTCTAGAATTGCGTTGCAGAAGGGAAAGATATCTAACATCATGTAATAAATAACATTTTTAAGGTGTTAAAAAATATCGTGATATGTACTTTATTTATAAAGTGTGTTTTGAACCAAACCGTCCAAACATTCTTGTGATTTCTAGACTTTTCATTTCAATGTCACATTCAATATGCTACTGTGGGATCGAGCATTGACAAATTACTAAACAGTTTTGCTTTGTGTCTTCCTTTTTGTTCTAATCCAGTTTTAATTTCCATTTCAAATTACTTTATTTCAGAGAATCCTACGATCAACTACCAGTCATTGGAGAAGGCGGGTAAGAAGTTACTGTAACAAGACTAGAGATTTATTTTTTCCCCAAAAATTCCCCAACGAGGGGGCTATGTTCTGACAGGCAATAAAATACTTGGCTGTTCAACGGCGGGGGGAGGGGAGGTTTGAATTTGAGTCTCTGAAACAGTATTTCCGGCATTTTTAGGATATTCTAACAGTGTGTATAATAGCACTAAAAACACGCTCGTTACAAAACATAGTTTCTTCCCTGACAAAACGCTAACATTTTCCTGATAGAGGGATAGAGTTTCCCGACAGAGACGGGCTGTATGACTGTATCCCCTCCTGCCCTCTCTCCCTTCTGGCACCACACCCATGCTTTCTTTAGAAATATCAGTTGTAAATTGGAACTTATATATTTGGTAACGGCACCCATGCATTACAACAAAATTACTATTTTACTTTTTTTCAGTAAAATTTCAGGTGTGGTTACTGTTGGACGTATTATGGCACGAATTGTTGGTGGTCATGTAACTACGGACAGTTGTATTACAGAAATCATGTATAAATCATTTACCAAGGTAAGTAACAATCTTGCTGTCCGTACGTTAGTGTTTACCCAGATCGGAAATCATTTGTGACGCAGTTCGTAGACTAGTTTATTATATAGTAGACAGTGAGATACTGAAAAATACACAGTAAAATATTTTCCATATCTTCACTACAGTGAAGATATCGATCACGTGACTTTTTCCAATTTGCTCATTTTGAGCGTGAAATTTTACAATTTTTTGCTTGGGACTATAAACAGAACATTACACGGTGGCTTGAAGATATGACTTTTATCTTCTCGTGTTAAAAACAATATTTTAAAACTCACTCGCTGCGCTCGTTCGTAAAATATTGTTTTCACCTCTCAAAGAAAAGTCATATCTTCGCGTCGCCGTGTAATATCTTCTATGTATGTTCCGCAACCGGATGAAATATGGCCCCAAAGAATTGGTATCTTTGCTTGTAAAGAAGTTGTTTTGTTTAATCTACAAATCAAGTAAATGAACGAAGGTAATATTGTACATTGTCAATGTTCCAGGTAACGCAAGATACTACTCTTGGAGAATTATCCAGATTGTTGGACAGCGATCATTTTGTTATCGTCGTGTTAAAGCAGCTTGTTTGTAAGTTTCAATTTAATGCTTGACCTTTTATACTGCTTTCTGCATGATTAAGACTTCGCCCAGATTTTGTGATGTACTACTTAGTTAGAGGCTGAATAACAAAATATTTTTTCATGTGAATATAGACCGTACTCATAATTCGCATTTGTTTATTGTTTATTGAGTTTCACACTCACACACTCACTAGTGAATGGATTTCCCAACAGGCTGTTGCCTAATTGATAAGGGATCCGAGGTACCTACGATTTTAACGTCTTTATCCGAGAAGACATTTCATGATGTCAGTGTAAAGGTAGCGCTTTCTCCTCAATTATTTTAAGACCTTGAGTAGAGGTCCGACCAAGGTTTGACCCTGCGGGTCTCCAGCTTGAAAGGCAAGCGTGGTGACCACGACAACACAACAGCTGGAAACCGGAATAAACGCAGGAAAATTGACAGAAAAAGTTTGCTTCCAGCTGTCGTAGGAGTGAGAAGGTTTATTCCAGTTTCCTATAGTGTAAGGGGGTTCCGATTGCGAATTATGAATAAGGTCTATGTAATCATAGACAATCCAGAAGACAATCTGTGTCTTCTGGATTGTCTATGATGTAATAGATCTTTAGATTTAAAGAAACTTCTTTTATTATTTAGATACTGGAGAAAAAGCAACAGAACAGGAGGTGGCATCAGGCATTGCGACACGTATTGATCTACTGAAGTTTATAAGTACTAGCAAGAAGTAAATTTTCATTAACCAAGTTTTAATCTTGAGAATTAAATAAAAAATGTGTACTTGTACACGTTTTATTAAGAACAAATATGTTTATGTTCTAAGTAATTAACACTAATTTGTGGAATAAGTATATCAAATATATCTTTCCAATGATCATAGACATAGTAACTGTATGGTAAATATTATAAATTGAAGTGTATACCAATAATGGATTTTAACCTCGTTGTGTTTAACAATTAACATTGTCATTGCTTAGTTGATCTCAGTTAGAGATTAGTGACATTAAAAAAATTACTCGAAGTCTTGTTTATATTATATATCAAGTATTATACACACAGCCACATGATACCTGACTTCGTTTGTCAGGAATATAGGCATCATGCACCAGTCTGATTATAAATGTAAAGAACATTTAAAATGATATATAAACGTCCTGTACAATTATTCCGCCATCTTGGATATGCATTCGATATATAGCTACGTCACAAGTAGGGTAAAAAGAGAATTTTTTATCTTGCAAACCACATGTCATTATCAATATGAAACTCGATTTTCCGAAGTCTTTTTAGTACTCAATTAACTCACAACATTTTAAGAAACTTTTCGAAGAAATTTAGTTCCACATGAACAAGTTTTAACAAGTTTACCCTGCTTGTGACGTCATCAAAAACTCAGTTAATTAGGTCAATTATGATACCAAGATGGCGTACTGCACACTGTTTTTGATCAAAATATTTCGAAAACGAAGCAAGGTACGAAAAAGTTGTAAGGGTCTTCATATATAACTTTAAACGTTCTTTCACATAAGACAAAGTTAATTTTTATTGCCATATCCTTTAATAAACAATTGAATAGTGGTAGATTCTTGCTTGCATGGGAATATCAGTCGAAACCCAATCCAGGTTATATAATGTTAAATGTTATCAACAAATTCATTTTTGTTTATTAACAAATAAAAGTGAGCTAAAGAATAATATGCGTTTCGAACATTATACATTGATAGAAATATCCAAATTTTGTTGTTTATCAATGTTCATATTTCGTGACCTTTCTTTATCACTGTGCCTATAAGAAAGTTTTGGTGCTTTTGATGACGAATCTTGTGGAGTTGGAAAAACAAATGCATTCTCTTGCTTGCTCTTTCCTTCCATAGCAACATCTCGAAGATTTGTCTGAATAGAAAATAGAATTTGCAATATTTAAATTTCATATAAATCATATTCCATATACATCAAGAATTTATTATAGGTCAAAACGAAATACGTCATCTAGCTGTTATACGTATTTCGTATTCACTCCCTGTTCCCCAGATCAGAATAATATTTTTGGCTCAGTTTTTCGATTAAACTTCATATCAGTAATGTAAAATTAGTTTAATTTTTTTACGAAGGTTTTCAGTGAGCTTGATAGTAGCTTAGCAAGCAAAGGGTGCGCCTGATCACGTGTGTGTCTACCACGTTCTTGGTTCCGGGTTCGGACCCGCTTCGGGCTGTTCAGTGTTGTTTTTATATTTGTGTTTTACTTAAAAACTTGTTTGATTTTTTAACCCGACTAGTTTAAACTCTCGTCGACCGTTGGGCTAAGCATACTTTTACGCATAGCTCAAAATTATCATAATATAACTCGTGAATAAAAATTCGCCATGCATATATTTCAATGGACTGGGTAACCTGATGATATTAACGGGTCCGGACAGCGTTGTCGTGTAATATATAACCGTCGCTACTCAATGAAAACCTTGTTCACAATTTGTCCATTCATGAATAGTACAAATTAAATGTAGCATACCTTCATTTTCTGTATCGTATCATATAACGTCTTATTCTCTAAATAACAAAACATATTTATTGAAGCAAAACAATGCATGGTGCCTGCTTTCATTATTACAGCAGTAATTTGCGGCTACAGGCCATTCACGTTACATGCACGAGATATAATTTTTACTGCAGTTTCTAAGTAAAACGTATTTGCAGACAAAGTATATAAGCATGACTGCGTTTTATCTCGCCGACATTTCCCTTACACTAAACATGGTAACACAGAAATGAATGAGCATAACGTGTAACATGACATCGTCATCAAATTACAGTACTCTAAAATTGCAGCTCTAAAATTCAAAAAAAGTATTGTCAGTACTTTAATCTTTAGCCACTTTCAGAAGAAACGAATGGACATGATGTACTATTTACAGTCCCTTTCGAAGCAAACCGTAACACATGCTCACTTTCCGCGCAGAGTCTTACGTTCAAATGGAACCAATACCATCCAACAATTTTCAAATGCTCTATACTGTGTCTCCTTGTCTTTCCCAAATATTTTAAAGCACAGATTCTCAAGTTGTATAAATCTTATAAGATATATTTTGATGTTTTCATGATGTTGGGCATATATTGTGGGATCTGTTTAATGGGCCTTTAAAAATAATAGAGAAGCCATTAACCAGCACTGGAAAAAAAGTGAAAATGGGTTAAAATATGCAATCCACAAGCGACCTACTTGATATAGGTAAATCCATCTTCTCTGGCACCCAATGTTGCGTATTCCTATCCCATCGTCGTGGTTGATACTTTGTTGTTTCCATTCGATATGGTGAACTGAATTCTAAGTTGTATGTTGATAACCGTCGAGTGACATAATCATTGCTGTGGTGATCCAGAAGATATTTTATACCAAAACCACTCTAAAAGGGAAATGTAATATCACGACCTCCAAAAATTCACGCAGAGTACGATCATTGCCATAGTACACTACGAGTGTGGGTATTTCATGTTGCACGAGTTATCATATTATTACGTCTTCAGTTAAACAACATACTTGCAACCAAATTACTTTCGAGAGGTTCAGATTTTGACTTCATTAACCAATCAGATGCATCTAACCTACCCAATTAACCAATCAAATGCGTATTATGCCTGTGAGATAGCGGTAGTGGAAGTCAAATCTGAACCTCTCAGTTCATTAGGAAATCATGACTGTGAACGAGTCTTGTAAATCTGATAGAAAACTTTGCTGATTTGCATAAACTTTGAGTTCTTTCTTTTAAACAAAATGGTCTCTCAAGCTGTATAATTGTATTAATTTACTTAAAATGTCTATCAAGATATGTTTGGAAATGAAACAGAAGTATTGTGTTATGTTTCTGTCTGAGGTTATGTTAATTTGTGGACGGTCATGGTGATTCAGCTTGTTGTATTGAAGTAATCATCCAATAGGGATAGCGGAGGTGAAACATGCAACCACGATTTAATGAGATTCGGCTAATATAGCGCCAGGGAGTTCGCCACAGGTTCCCCAATTACGGCGACCCCATAATTAACTTTACGTTTACAATAATTTTAACAGTCGAAACGAACTAATTTAAGACAAAGTACAATCGGTGCAAGAGACAACTAACAACAACTTAAAACACCATCAAGGGACCTAGCCCTTTTACATTTAACGCACACAGACTTCCATGCAAGTTCGCGGATCGTCATACTTATAAATATTGAAAGCTTGCAGGCCAATATCTCTATTACGGAGGTCACTATTTAAAACGTTCCACGTTTTACACGCTCTAATAAGATATGAAGACTGGTATGTTACAGTTTTAGCAAAGAGTATTACAAATCTGATCACGTTTTCGTTGGTTTCATGTCTGGTTTTTCCTGATTCAGCTATTATTGGTAGAGCACTCTCATTAACATAGGTATAGTTGTTAATTAACTTATAGAGTAAAACCATGTCCAAATATTCATGCCAATAAGTTATTGGTAGTAACTCCAGTTGATGTAATCTAGTTATGTACGAGACATCGGTGGTAAACCCAAGATTTAAGATGTATTTCGTTGCTCTTCTCTGCGCCTTCTCGATGTCTTCGATTAACTTAATGGATTGTGGGCACCATACTTGGGATGCATAACCAAAAGTGCTGCGTACGAGTTGTAGATACAGTTCTTGTAGAAGCCTCCTCGCGTTGATAACAGTCAACTCCGCGGTAGATCGTCTAATTAGCCCGAGCATTTGGTTGGCTTTCGACCGCACTTTATTTACTTGATCGTTCCATAATAGCTTAGGACTAATGGTGATACCCAGATCAACCTGTGCGTCGGAAACCAACAACTGATCATTGTCAAGCTTATAGGGATAAATTAAAGGCGATTTCTTTCTGGTTATTGACAGCACTTTACACTTAAATTGGTTAAAGCGTAGCCAGTTTTCTATCGACCAACAAAGTAGGCCTTGAATATCATCTTGCAAGACCAATGCATCACAGGGATTCTGCACATATCTGTAAAGTTTGGTATCGTCAGTAAACAAACCGACCCCAGTGGAAGTGGATATGTTGTTAGGTAAGTCATTGATGTACACTGAGAAGAGAAAGTGACCCAGCAACGATCCTTGTGGGACTCCAGATGTGATTGGCAGAGACGTAGCGCCGTGTACAGTTACCCGTTGGAAGCGACCTGATAAATAGTTTTGAAACCATAGCAAGAGAGAACCAGAGAAGCCGAAATCGTGAAGTTTTTGTAAAAGTATGGAATGGTCAACGCTATCGAAGGCCTTACAAATATCCATGAAAACAACATCAGTTTGTAAACCCTGATCCAAGTTTTTCCCAATAGTGTTTAAAATTGACAATAACTGAGCTGCGCTTGATCTTCCGTTGACGAAACCATACTGCGCCGAATGAATGTTGGACTGTATACGGTGCGATAAATGGTTGAGGACACAACGTTCAAGAGTCTTGCTTATGATACATAACAGAGAAATGGGACGGTAGTTTTCAACGTGATCTTTGTTTCCTTTCTTGAGTAGAGGAATTATATTAGCTAATTTCCATTTGGTGGGAACCTGCGATAAGCGGAGTGACTTTGAAAACAAGCAGTGAAGTGAAGGTGCTAATTGGAGGGCACATTCCTTTAAAATGCGGGAAGGAAACCCGTCAGGACCATGAGCCTTAGAAGGATCTAAGTTCAGTAAGGCTTGATATACTTCTTCTAGAGAGAGGTCAATGGATGAGATGCTGGATAAAGGAGATGATGAACCAGATTGAGATGGCGAGGGTTGGTCAGAAAAACATGTGTAGACAGAATGAAAGTACTCGTTAAACATTGTTGCAATGTCGTATGGTGTGTTAGCATGTAATCTAGTCCCAGGATTGTTGGTATCCGACCTTGTGACGGAGTTGGGTATATTTCCAGAACTTGACTTGATTTTGAAAATCGACCAAAAACGTTTTGGGTTGATTTGTATAGTGTTTCCTAATGACGAGAAAAATGACTCTCTGCTATTTTGAATCACTTTTTTTAACTTCAGCTCTCAGTTTGTTAAACTTCGCCTTAAGATAATCAGTTCCACGGCTAAGGAATCTCTTACGGGCAGTAACCTTTTTACGAATATGATGTAAGATGGTAGGTGTTATCCAAGGTGGTGAGCGACGAGGGTCCCGACATATTTGGAAGGGATAAATTCATGCACAGCAGACATCATGGCGTCCTTCCAAGTTGACAAGTCATCATCAACACTAGATTCCGTTCCATTATTTGTTACAAGAGAACAAATGTCTATGTCTATTAAACGTTTTCGTAGGCCGTCAAAGTTGGCTCGTCTGTAATCGTAGACCAAACGTTTATTAGATTGAATGGTTTTAAATGCGGAGGAAAATTTAAACTGTCTAATTTTATGATCAGAAGACATTCTTAAATCCGTTGGAGAGCAGATGTCTATAAATGATACTTGTTCAGGTTGGTTTGTAATCAGTAGATCCAGAATATTTGATTCTCTCGTAGGCGTAAGGCAAAGTTGGGATATGAAATATCGCAGAAATTCTGACTCAATGAACCAAACGATGTATAGTTACCATCTGTCCAAGAGATATTTGGGAGGTTAAAATGCCCGGCAATAATAATCTTGTCGTAACTAGGAAATAGGTTATCAGCAAAGGATCTAAGATCAGACATATCGTTACTATCAGGTGGTCTATAACAGCACACAAGAAGCCATTTTGCGTGGTTGGGTAGGGTACATTGAATAGCAACTGCCTCCAAATTCGTAGTAGCAATGGAAGTAATTACGATCAATAATATATGAAGTTGAGACAAAGAATTTGTGCACTGTGAGGAACAAACGTCGATTTATTTTGTGGCTTTGGTTTGGCGTCTGCCGGGAATCCAGATAATCATACCTTAACAAACTATGGCGTGAGTTAACTAATTAACAAAAAACACTCGTACTTGTTATAGCGATAGGTTTCCATCATGCAGCCTCTCACGTCGAAATTTGAAGGAGTTCAGTAAGACAAATTCTGCAGTATTCATAGTTTCACAGTATTTTAATTAACAAAATGTTCCATTTTACCCTCAGCAAACCGGAAATGAAAATTGTTCATGAAATTTATCGTCTTAAAATACTCAGTAATTATCCAACCAACCTGTTGCACAATTCTGTTATTCCACATGGTACGCCAGTCACGAGTTTTAAAATCAGAATCACGGGCTTGATACTCCGCCATATTTGATGTAACACATGACATGTTGCCTCGGGGAAACTAAAATCAATTTACAGATACAGTATGAACAACAGTTTGTAAGATATTGACATATACAGTAGATTACATTAGATTCAGCGAGTGCTGACCACTGATGTGCTGACTTTTTATAACAGTGCATGTGAATATCATTCGTTCAGTAAACACTTCATTAAAATATATTACACATACAGGTATAAGTATGCAAAATATGGATTTAAATTGGTCTTCAGTAAATTACTGAAATGATACTATATCGAAAGTTATGCATGGTATGACATAAACTGGCTCCTCCTAGTATCACCAAGTAACTCCAATAGATTGTTTTCGTTGCTTTACAGTATGAGGCCTTACGTCTCAACCTTTTCGTTACGACAAGTGAGCATTCCATTTTCAATATTTCATTCTGGAATAATTTTTACTCACCACTTTTCTTTCTTCAAACCAATCTCCAACCAGAGTACGAGGCGAATATCCTGGTTCAAATTTCCATCCTTTTAAATCCCATCTATTAACATGTCCTTTTTTCATTTTCTTCAAACTTAGTCTCGCTTTCTAATGGAACTTGATCTTAATTAAGGATTCTTCGGAACAATTAGAACTGCGTATTGTTACGTCACATTCGTACAGAAATTGAACGTTTGCATCAAATGGTTCTGCGCGAGAGCTCTGTAACGGCACGTAATTAGCAAGCGCTGCACGAAACAAAATCTGGTAACATGGACTAACACGAATGGATCCCAATACCATGTTTTATTATATATTCTGTAGCTATGATAGAGTCCTGTCCCACCGATTGTTTTAAATTTTAGCACTTTCAGATATCCCGAGCCATTTATTTTTGTGGAACACACTATAAGGTTTTTCATTTCCACAAGCGAAATTGTTAAAGTTGCTTAAAAATATAGACGCTCCGTTTACGATGGAAACGACGAGATAAGTAGGCAAAAAAATGTGAGGTAATTTCTACCGTAAATGTAATTGTATTTTAAAAGTATTTTAAAATACTCATTAAAAATTCATAAACCTTTTGACAAATCATGTCAGCCATAATATGTCACGTGGAGTGACTTTATATCTGATAAAGCATGAGGCATTATATAATGGTTCATCCTCATTAGTATGATTATATAATGGTTCATCCTAATTAGTATTCTTTTGTAGTCGTATTTTAAGCTATTCAAAACACTCGTCGTGTTTTATCAGATATAAAACGCTCGGCAGCGCCTTGCGTTTTATATCTGATAAAACACTCCTACTCGTGTTTTAAATAGTACTTATTATTATGAAAGTAGAATTGAACTTATCGAGTTATCGTAATAGATTGGCACGACTTGTTAAAGGCATACACTGTACAGATGTCTGTATGTCTGTTTTCACTGACAAATGTTGTTTTTATTCCTATATAATGACTCATTTTCTTGTTACAATATCATTTTATTTGGTGATTTAGGCGTATGAATGGATATGGAAATCGGCCAGGGGCCGGTTGTATAAAAGGCTTAACTCTACCTTTCAACTACCCGTTTTGTAGATAAAGGGTCATGATCAACCACAATGCAATGTGCGCTTTTGTTTACGTTTTTCAGTTACTTTCCTCAATAGTTGCCGCCATTTTCGAGGCCACAAAAATGGCTGCCTCTGGCCCACAACGTAACAGAAACGTAAACAAACGCACGCATTGCATTGTGGTTGACCATGACCCTTTAAATATAGTAGTTAACGCTCAAATACATGACATAACCACACTGTATGTAGTTAACTTTAACTACGTTTTTATACAACTGGCCCCTGGGCATTATGTTGTGGGCGCAGTATCTCTTGTACAAAATTACATTTACGTCACCATCATTCAGTTGAAATTACGCATAAAAACCCCGTTGTAAGATCGTCTGTACATTGTAAATTCATTTAACCATACTGCAGTCTTTGTCATCAAAATCTCGTGATGGTAATTGGAAAATTTTCAGTGATTAAATAATCATCATTAAACACCACAACGACATTCACTTCAAATTCTGCAAAGAAACATCACAGTAATAAATACTCAAAGTACACATGCTTCCCTACCTTCATTTTTTCATCAGATACATTTATTTAGTGATGTAGAGTGGTTATACACAACATGTAGGATGCAAATGGTTATGCCAAATTTGATTTGGAGTAACCAAAGCAAAGGTTAGAGCTTGTGCTCACTCAGTTGATAAAGAAGTATAATCGGTCATGGTTTACTGTGTTCATGCACCATATAGGTACTTTTGACATTGACAAATTGAATTTGACTAACAGTCATGGTACTCTGGAACCATGCAAAAGTCTATGTCAACGAAGCCTTAAGCCTAGCACGAGCCAAAATAGGGAGACAAATTTTTGACTGTGAAGAAATGGAAATAAGCGTTCGATATTCCTTTGCTTATGGATCAAACACGTTATATATTTAGGTGTCAGAAATCTTTCGGAAGTATTGAAATGAGAAAACGAACAAAATAAACATCACGTATACGGACACAGTAAACCCTAGACCAAGTAAAGTGATTTAATCAACAGGGCAGTTACCTACATGTATTAAATATATACTCACCAACTTTAAAATTTGGAGTAGCCAATGAAGGACATGTAAATAATCTTGGAAATATCATGTAAATTGGAAGTGGAAGTTTTGCACATACATTTCCTTCGCCAACCTGAAATTAAACAATTTTTATTAATCGACTATAACTTTTTTCTTAAATGTTTGATACACCAACACCAGATTACAAACTATATTGTATACAAAAACATTTGCCTTTTACAGGTCTATGAATACGGCCGAACATTTACCTGAATATTCTGAATTTCCGTGGCTAAAAAACCCCGAAAAGAACAAGAATACATTTAATAATTCTGATAATAAATAACATGTTCAAGGTACAAGTATAAAGAAAGAAGTTTATTAACTACTATATTACCGTCTTTTGAATATCCTTCAGCACAACCTGTTATACAAAGATAAAATGCGAATTGAATGCAGGACGATCTTGGAGAACTGTTAAAGATCCTTCGACTACATAGTCATCAGATGAGCCGTATAGTGGACGAAGCATGGATTATAATAGGATAAGATATGCTTAATAGGCGGACGTGATGAACAGTTACTATGTTTTACTTTGTGGATTTGTTACTAGTTTAAATTTGTTTTTCATCTGTATCCGTCTTTCTTTACAAAAAGAATCCATAGACATAGTTCTTACTCATGTTGGTAACTCTGTGAATTTAGCGTGTGTTTCGTCACGACCGCGTACTAAATTAAGCACATCTTTAGCTCCCTTATTTCAGGTCCTATGGGCATTATATAACGCCTGTATTCTATAGAAGCTCATTCACACTCACACTTAAGTAACATTCAAGTGAAGGACACTCAAGTTGGATTAAAGTGCGAGTGGAGTACGAGCTAACGTTCCACTCACTGGGAGAGCACTCATTCTCTAAAAATCTTGTTGATTTGTATTCATAGAACTCACTCGAGTGCGACTTGTCTGAGGAGCACTTGTCGTTTCTTATTAGGTGTTGTCAATGGATTCACGTGTTTTAGAATCATAGCATTTACATATATCTGTACAGTCAGTTGTACCCACAGCACAAGGGAAGTCACAGAGTTTATTCTTCGCAGCATATACCATGGACGAAATTGAGTGCGCACGCACTTGCCTCAGGTATGCATTTGATAACACCACTTTCTAGTAGCTGTGGAGCTGATTTGCACAAGTTTCCATATCCTAATTGGAATGTACGTGTTGCGTCTGTTGCATACACCGAATTTTCAAAAACGTTGTATATCTGTAAGGATGGGGTATGCACGTTCATTAAATGCAGATATATATCGTCCGATTAAGTCCAGTAGACTACGAAAACAATCCTGCGTTAACACATGCACCTGGTTCGGAACTGCTCCTCGACATAGCTATCACAACAAGTATGATTCAATGTCCGTTCATTCCTGCTATTTCGTGGTTAGCCACCTACCTATCACTCATTGAGTGTGAGTATGAGGAAGCTTTTAAAAAATAGGCGATGATATAAAAATGTAACTGAAATCAATTAAAGGGGAAGTCAAGTCCGTAATGTAAACAAACGGTTTGTTTACATTTTGAACTGCTGTATTTTTTAAAATATGATGTATTGTCTGAATATCTAACACCATTTTGGTTCGCTATGCTTCTAAACGAATATGAAATAGAGTTTATGTTCAGAAAAATTCGAAACATTCGAAATTTGGGCAATGTTCACATTAGAGGGCCCTCACATTGTTATGAGCAGAACCGATGAGCAGAACGGACTTGACTTCCCCTTTAACATTGACTGAAACCTGATCCTAAAACAATCCTGAGCCCTACGCATTACTGAACCGTATGTATAAAGACTTTAAACTATGATGGATTGATGGTTCAGGGTTGTTTTATGGTAGTTTTTAGTCAAAGTTAATTGTTTCTTTCATTTGTGTATTCAGTGTCCATAGAACATGAAATATATAACTGGAGTGGGCTCTTAATTTCGTATACTCAGGGCACTTTGCGTACCCAGGTCATTTTCATGGTCACGTGACTGCTCAGTTTCTGTTCGTAGGAGAAAGACAGGTATTAAGGAAACTATTGTACAAAGGGCCTTCGCTGGAAACTTCGAAGTTCTGCTTATATTTTCCAGGTTGTTTTATATCTCTCAATCCGCAGCTGCTGTTAAGGAAACACTGCACTTCCGGTACGCGTTTGAACTGTACTGTATTATAGATAATGCAAACAGTGTTTACAGCCTTTACGACGTGGGTAAGAAGTAAGAACATGAGTGATAGACAGAGACCAGAGTTTTCTGTTCTAGGCCTTTGGATGTTGTTCTATCTTCAGCTATTACATATTTCCTACAGATGCCACGAATTATCTGCAGACCTGCAGCCAATCAAAACAGAGAACTGATGAGAAATGGACAATAAATGCATGTATAATAATAATAATACACGCCATTGTAGAACCTCTATTTCGTTATACGTGACCATTATGCACCATTCTTCGGTAAACCTTGTAACCTGTCGTATTTCGCTAAACTCTAAGATAACAAAAGCGACAGTTTTAAGACGTTTACGGTAGGAATCACTTACCACAAGTTTCTACTCTCACTAACTGCAATTCAATTGATTTAATTGGTAATTCTGAGTTCAAAACTGTCACCTGTGAAAGAAACAAAGCATTTCTGTCGAATGAATTTACTATATGAATAAAATGTTAAACACGTCCGAATTTGCGTCCGAACTTTCACCTCTGTTCATATTAAATAATTTTGTGTTTTAATTTAAATCAAGGATCACAAAAGAGGTTTTTGATATTTTTTATTTTAGCTACGTTTCGGATAGTGTGTTGGTGCAATGTAGCATGAGTTCATAAATTATACACTAAATTCGCGCGCATGTTGAACCCTAATCTAACCCAGATTCTAACCAATCTAACCCTAATCTGAACTTGACAGCCTTTTTTCGGTTACATTTTCATGTCACGCAGTCGCGAAATGTAAGTGGTTAGGAGGTTAGGGGTAGTGATTGGGTTAGGTTTCGTGATTGCGTGACATGGGAAGATAACCCTCCCCCCCCCCCCCCCCCCCCCCCCCCCCCCCAACCCCCCCCCCCCCCCCCTCCCACACCGGCACGACCTACCTCACTTCCAAGGCGATTACCTTTATACCCAAACGTCTTGTCTAATGCTTGCGGTTAAACGGTTTTGTGTGCAGTCGCGAGTTTATTGTATAATAAGTTAGCCTGAGGACGGATAGTAAACTATACTGTGTTTATATAAAATTATAAGTTTATAACAATTTGAAAACAATTGGGCAATTTTGTGAAAGATAAAACATTTATCCACCGAAAGTATGCAATCATCAGATTAGGGTTAAATTGGTTAGAGTCAGGGTTAGGTTAGGGTTCAACATGCACGAATTCATTGCATAATTTGGACGTGTTTAACATTTTATTCACATGCATAGTAAATTCAAAGGTGGAGCTCATGCTACATTGCACTAACACACTATACTGTAGTTATTAACAATTTGAAAACGATGGGGCAATTTTGTGAAAGATTAAACATTTATTTATTGAAAGCATGCAATCATCAGGCAATTCAGCATACCTCGCCTGTAAACGGCTTTGTAATACAGCAAGAAGTTGAATCTAATTTTCCTTTTATCAAAAATTTCGGAACTTTTGTTTTCTAGTTGAAGAAATAAAAACGTTCGTTTAGTATATAATATTTTTTTTAAATTACAAGTCAGAGAACGTTAGTTTCATAATTTAACACTAGAAAAACATATTATTTATGTAGAATGACAAACATTATGATGTTAAAAGCAATTATTATATGGCTTTTCAAAATTCTCTATTCTGATTGGTTGACAAGCGGTCCGTAAAAACCCATAAGCCGGTTTTCCACTTCAAGCGTACCGTACCGTATCGAAACGTATCAAAAACGTTTTTAAATTTCAAAATTTCGTGAATGTTGATTGGTTAATACTTCCGTAGTACGCCAAAAAGTTGACTTGCGACGAACTATTTATTTTGATATACGCGAATACACCCGGAAGTATGTGGATTTATAAACCTCTTTTCAAACTGCGCATGCTCACCAGTACGTTTCGGTACGATTCGGGCGAAGTGGAAAACCAGCTATAGGCCATATCCGGACCGTGGTCCGTATTTTCCGTATCTGGACCGGTGTCCCAGATGTCGTTTATCTGGCGGGAAATTTTTGCTTTGCAAACAGAAAAAATTTTTGCTTTTTAATTTTCCAATTGTGTGTCATTAAAATTTGCAGATAAAAATTTCAAACAACCAAATTGTTTTGGATTGAGCATGCATGCCCACCGTATATTGTTACCCAGTGAAACTGACGATAGCCGATTTAATTCGCGCGAAAATTGACCTCGCTTGTTCGCTTATTGACCTCGCTTGTTCGGTCTGTACTGTGAAATATCAGACCTCTGTTTTTTGCATGGACCTCGCTCCTTCGTCGCTTGGTCCATACTAAAAAACCTCGGTCTGATATTTCACAGTACAGACCTCACGCTCGGTCAATAAGCCGTTATTGCTATTGTATATAGACATAGTGTATGATGATTCCCTAAATACACTTGGATTGTGCATGATTAGTAATAACCAGTATATCACTTTAAGTTCTAGACTTCCAGTTCAAACAGGCATACCTCTTTAACATTTTCTAGTGAATCTGGCGTGATTTTAAAATCCAATGGTTGCGTAGTACTAACTTGTTTTGGAAAATTATTCTGAAGACAAAAAAGATAAATATTGTAGCCGTTCTTAAAATGATTATATTAGTAAAAGCGAGAATTGTTTGACGTCGAAGTCGATTTCTGATATGCTTAGCCTTATGCATGAGTCAATTCCTGGAGTAACCACCCCCCCCCCCCCCGGGACACCCCCGGGAATTTGCCCGATAGACAGTTCACGGGGGTCGGGAATTTGCCTTTCATATATGTGCACGGGGGCCGGGTATTGGAGGACCCCAGGGATTTGACAAATGGTTGCCCAGAATCCCACCCACAAATTTTAAGGCAGCAAAACCTAGTTTCAGGCACGCATGTGGGCGCGCTGATCGTATTTTGCGCCCTCGAGGTCAAGGTGGCGTGAAATTTATTGTAAGAATAAGCGAAAATTATACCCTGTGCCATGCAAATTTAAATACAACTATTAAAGGTTTATGTTTTATAATATTCCATAGCAGTTTAATACTATAATGTTATTAAATGACTATGATTATATGCCATTAAAAGTTTAATTAACGTTTACAGTCGATTTCACGAAACTTTGACCACAAATTTTCCGAACTTCGTTGTGAAGTTCACAAGATTGTTGCGAAGTTCAAAAGTTCATAATGAGATTCACAAACAGTTCGTAAAATACGCATTTGATTGGCTTCTTTTACTTCACGGACCAATCAGGGACTTTGTTTACAAATTGGCTTGTGAATTCCAATATGAGCTTCCGAACTTCGCAACGAACTTGCGAACTTCGCAACGAAGTTCGGAACATTTGTGGTCAAAGTTTCGTGAAATCGACTGTAAAATCGTCCCCGGGGTGGGGCATTTTCCACTCTCAGCTTGCCCGGGGGCCGTGCATTAGTCTTCAAGTTGTGTCCCGGCACCCGGGCATTTACACTATCATAACCAATCAAATCAAATGCCCGGGTGTGTTCCCGGGGGGGGGGGGATGGTTACTCCTGGAATTGACTCATGCATTAGACCTTAGTGGTAATCACTGAAACCCAATCTCCTATTCTCAAAAACTCCTATTCAGTGCTATTTACCTTCGTATATTCCACAATAAATTCGCAAGAAGCCAATAGATCTTTACTCAACATCGGACGTTTTACTTCACAACGAAGAGAGTACTATTAAAAAATAAATTCTCTATTTACGGTAACAATAGTTAGACACAGAATGTGTTACAATGCATGTATGACAAAAAAGTGATATGAATGTAAAGCACGGCTGCAGGTCTTATCCGGGAACTTCAACTTTGTTGAGATACATGGAAAACTACCGGAACAATATAGTTATCCAGTGTTTTAATACAAATCACTGATTACAATGAGTTAGAAAATGTGAAATATTTAGTGGACGATGAGGTTTTGTGATATACAATACAACGATGTTATAATAGTTAATACTATTCGTATTTTGCCTGTTGTTATCCTTTTGTTTCTTTTTTATCTTTTTTGATGTAATATGATAGTTCAGCGAATACGAAAATTTGACGGTCGAACCTCCCTAATACGGACACCGATGACGTCAATTTTAAGGCTTAAGACTTAGTACTAAAACTAGAACTAAAAACAGGCCAAATGTCAGGGTTTATTATAGTACCACAAATCACTGTTTCGGAACAATGCAATTCTGCACTTAGCTACCATATTATTTTCAGAGTTTAAAAATTACAAGTAACGCAGTAATCATTTCCAGGTTTTATAATGTGACATTTGTTCAGTACGCGTACAATTATTATATTACTGTACTATTACTGCGATATTCAGTTGGGGAACGCCCATACATGTAACTTTATCGTAATACTTTCATTTTCATTAGGCCAGACATGATGTAAGGTCGTTCATAGGCAGGGATATTGGAACCACGGGTGCAGCGGGTGCACTTGTTGCCTTTTGTAATCACAACATTCTGGGTGCAATGCTGGTGCAGACTATAGGTGCAACCGCATTTGCATTTGCACCCAGAGTGAATACAAAAGGCAAAGGGTGCACTTGCATCTGCTGCACTCGTAGTTCTGGCATTCCTGTTGAGTGTTGACAGGATGTTGCAAAGGGGCTTCAAAAACAGACCAGTACAAAATTCAGATGGTGGGTGTCAGCCCAGGTAGCAAAGTTAACAAACTGTGGTCTTTGTAGGTGATGCGACTACTGTACATGAAAACATAGTGATGAAAAATATTATTTTTCAGGTGGTTGTATCACCTACAAAGCTGACCACAATGTTCTTCGAATGCCGAAATTCCCAAATATTCAAATCAAAATGTTCCTCAGAAGTGCATACAAGAAATGTAATGCTTGTGATGTTACTCTGAGTGTATATCCACACTGGGCAAGCTTGAAAAATATGCCTGACCACGGTGGGAATCAAACCTACGACCTTTGGAATGCTAGCCCAATGCTCTGCCAACTGAGCTACGCGGTCAGGTCGGTTCGAGTATGTGATATTTCGGAACAGAATCTAGTTCCTTCGATATCAATGTAATCTAATAATCAGTAACGATTTTTCTGTGTTGGTGTAATGTACTCAGGTGAATATGATGCTTGTGATGTTACTCTGAGTGCATATCCACACTGCCACCGGGCAAGGTGTGGATATCGAAGGAACTAGATTCTGTTCCGAAATATCACATACTCGAACCGACCAGACCGCGTAGCTCAGTTGGCAGAGCATTGGGCTAGCATTCCAAAGGTCGTGGGTTCGATTCCCACCGTGGTCAGGCATATTTTTCAAGCTTGCCCGGTGTGGATATACACTCAGAGTAACATCACAAGCATCATATTCACCTGAGTACATTACACCAACACGGAAACAATCAAGAAATGTAATATTTTACCGTACACATTACCAACCTGTATATTCACAAAGACGCCATGGTATGTCTCGTATAACTGTTTGTTCATCTTGCCTGTTAATGGAATCTCAAAAGGCAATTCTGTCTTTCCAGCAGGCGTGGAGAGTCAGAAATAAATACACGTCATTTAAATCTTTTCAACGAAGAACTAATTATTAAAGAATCTAGGTGTTTTACAATCATACAGGTATGCTATAATATATCCCCTATTTGAATATACATATAGACAGAAAGTAAAACTCTATTATTCTAGATACTCAGTATATATAAGCTGTAGCAATTAAAGATTGTGTTTCTCAGTTTGCATAAAATAAATATATGTGCACCTTAACTTAATCATGTCGAGAATCTTTTGAAAGGATTCTATAGCAAACTGAAATATCTTGAAATAGATCATTTGAATTAATGTAAAGGGAGGTGACCTAGGGCAGGATTTATTGAAAGCTGACTATGTACTTTACATAGTCTTTATCAAACATATCACTCAACAATACACATACAAACACACATAAAATAGACAATATATAACTAAGAGAATGGTATAATTTTCCTGTCTTCTGTATCTCCACTGTTTGGCTAACCAAGGTGATAGGTTTGATGGAATTATAAAACGCTTCAAATACTCCAACACTTTTTGCACTTAGTTGCAAGTTCACAATACCATCCATGACCAAGCTAATGCCATTGTGAGCAAGATCTGTCTTGCTCTGAACGATAACTACACCCAGAACTTTCTCCTGACAAAAATATATAGGTAGAGATTAGAGAAAAAGTAATCCCAATTAGGTGCTAATTAATAGGGATTCTATGTGAATTTGGATCAACACAGGGGTCGACTCAGGGACAGGGCACTATTTTAATTCAGCTTATCCAACAGAAAAGTCAACTAACTATCAAGGCCAGCTATCAGAGAACAACATTTTTTTATGCTCTCTGGCCGGTTAAGAATATGTATTTATTTCACAATCTTTCAACTGCCAGATATGACCTCTATCTTCAACAGGTGTGACACAGAGTGACATTTCTTCCTACATATATGATTAATGACTAGAATATATACAGTAAGCAGATTTATGAAATTATAAAACAAAAAACTGTATTGTTCTGGCTTTTATTGAAGAAACTTTTAATAATTTTATAAATCTAATAGTTTTTGGGCAAGGCGGTATTTCTCATTGGCAGGCAAATAGTGCCTTAATGCACCGTACTGTATTATTTTACTCTGTCTAACATATGTCAGATGATTTCACTCATCAAGGGGAAAGCAGTGGTGCTCAATGGTTAATCAGACCTGCATGTACATGTAGCAATGCTCCCAAGCAGCAATGCTCCCTGAGGCACCAAACTTTATTTCCTTAGGGGTGCACCAGAACTAATTTTTAAAGTTCCGGCCAGAACCGGATCTGGAAAAAAGTTCTGGCCAGAACCAGAACTGTATTAAGCCATATGTAGTCATATGTTACTTTGTATGCTGCCAGACAGGCAGACACTTCAACTGTGCTTCAAGTCATCAAGGAAAGAGCTCGCAAATGTTAGAATAAAAAGATTGACAAACGTCATAATAGATAGATAGATAGATTTTATTTTGACACCCTAACTACGTCAATTAAAAACATTGATTTCCACAAAGGGCGTGTGTTCAAAAGTTATTATATATAAGTGTTGTTATGACTCTTATGGAATCAAATAAAAGAAAATAGAAATAATCTAACTGTTCCAATTGACAAAATTGACAATATAGACAACTAACAAAACATATAGATAACTACAGGTGTATTTACAATAAAGGATATATGTATGTATAAATACATTATTTAGTAACATGAGCAGCAATTTTTCTTTCAAATAGAGACCGGGACCTAATTCCTCTCATTTCTTTAGGCACTGAGTTCCATATTTTTGCCCCATTAAACATAAAACTCTTTCCATCGTGTTAATGGTGTATATTTTCCCTGTGTAGTCCAAATTTCTTCCTACTCACTGTGAACTTTTTTAGACACAAAAACGTTTGATATTCTATCTCAGTCTCTGAAAATAACAGAGTTCCGGTTCCGGCCATGCTTTTTTTATTAGTTCTGGCCGGAACCGGAACTCTGAAAAATCGGGGTTCCGGCCAGAACTTTAGAACCGGCCGGAACCGAGTTCTGGTGCACCCTCTCATCAAGGAGAGAGTGTTGCCACTCAATAAGTTAATTTAAAAGCTGCATGCACACCCCAATCTGCCTTATAGAGCGCTGGCACACAATGGGTTGACCCACAGGCAATATCATCCTAATGTCAGACTGTATCCATTTTGTTTTTTACTGGTCAATTAATAATTATTGTTATATATGACCGACCCCCTCTAGTAACTCCAGATGAAGGGCCTTCGCTCGAAACGTCAAAATTCTCCTTATATATTTTCAGGTATTAGTTGCATCGATCCCTACCAACGATAGCTTGTTCATTTGATTGGCACTACACCTACACAGCTACACTAGCTGACCCTGACTGGAAAGTTTGGAAATTGTGCGCCGGAGACAAACTTTCCACACTGGTTAGACTAAGCTGACTATATAGCAAGACAGTTCAAAATTAATAGACGTATAGACCATATTTAGAGGTGGTAGCTAGAAATCTCTAAGTAATGCTTTGTAATATGTGCGAATTCATATTTTGAACAAAAATATAATTTTAATTAGCTACATAAAAATTGCATTACCTCAGCATGATAAATTTTATTGGCCCGCTTTACTTTAATTTCCACAGTAGCCATGTTTGAGCAGATTTTCCAGACCTGCGGAAGTGGTGCATTTCAGGGGGGAGAGGCATGCTTTAAACGAGAGTTTTCACTTTGCGAGCTGCCCTATAAAATGTTCAATGCAGTCAGTTCTTTTTGGAGAATACTAATATAGTCAATACCAAACTGCAGATAATTTTTCTGAAAATTGAAAAGGATGGGTTTTTTTGAAAATTATTCAAAAAAGATTTCATTTTCGCTTTTCAACTGCTCACTCCCTCCCCCCGGATTACAGGCATCCCGCGTTCTTCTCGCGAGATTCACGAGGGATTTTATACTGGGGTCTAGGAATTTCATGTCTTGATATATCTTGCACGATATTTCACAAAATGCGAAGGTATGTCTGTTAATTTCTACATTTTTTGAAGATCTGTGTGTTCTGAATAGTCGGCTAAAGTTGATTTGTGCCTTACGGTTACATATTTTTTTCTTATTGATTAGTGGCAGGATTGAATTGGGAGATGTTACACCACACAACATCAAGCAACTAAGGAAATTAAATTCAGTCATTTTCCCTGTTAGTTATAATGATAAGGTACAGCCAAAAATTGTGTTTTAATTTATTGAACCATATTCACAGATGTGTTGTGAAAACATGCCAGTCTTATTTTGTATATTTACATATGAAATCATTGCGATTTTTGACTCACCATGCTTACATGCTAGATATATGCTAATAGTGATAACTGATAAGCATGCCTGACAGGAAATTTGCACACCCGAGATTTTGAAAATTTAATAGTAAATGTCATAACTGCATGCCCAAGATCTTGGTTGTGTGATACAAAATTTCCACAGTGTTATACATATTACAGATCTCATACAACGCATGCTCATGTTTCAAAAAATTATTCAAAACAGCAGAAATTGAGGTGATGTGAAACACTATTAAGGTGTCTCACAAAGCCAAATTATTTGAAGAAGAGCGATGTTAAATTAGTTAGACATAACACTTCTAAGGCTAAAGGATACCATGAGTGCTTGATTAACATAATTAACAACTTTAATGGTTTAATGTGTGGATGGCAGAAACATTTACCAATCTATAATCAATCAATGAAAAGTCACAGTGATACCAGTCATTGATTGATAATTGATTTCCAGTACCAATTGATCAATTGACATCGAGTGATATTAATTATTTATCAATTTTATCAATTAAGTAAAGTAGGATAAACAGAATTATATCCAAACCATATTCTGTTATCCAAATGGTATTCTTTTATAAAAAATATGTACAATGGTTGAAAACCTGGTTTAATATAATAACACGATAAATGCTAATTTCCAAAATGTGTGTGAAGGATTGCTAGTCATATCAACACTACAAAGCTTTCATATATGCAGTATTTGAATTCTGGGTTGATTTTGCATGCTTACACATTGGAACAACTTCAAAGTACTGGTGACAACAATGTGAAAATAATGAAGTGCTTGGGGGCCACATACTTTATGATGGTATTTTGCTGTTGAGTACTTGAGAAGTAGCAAACAAACATCAGCAATCATTTGCAAATACAATCATGTTACAAAAATAGTTGTGTAACTATAAGAATAATAGAATGTATGCATTATTGTTGCCCGCATATTATTTTTGGTTTAGTTTTATAAAGATGTGTTGGAAGTTGGAGAATTAGCAAAACTAGGTAAAAATTGTTGTTGTGCAAATATTTAATTATTTGTTTATGTATATTATTTGTGAGATTGGTTCCTTGAAACATATATTATGCCCATACAACCATACCTTATCAGCCAAAATCAATCTGGTGTGTGATATACAGTACAAGTAAAATATGATTAAAATACTTTGATTTTAAATCGTATATGTTAGACAGAATATATCTTATATTTACAGCGTTTTACAATGACACTGTGGTTGGAGCTGTCTGCTGCCGGGTAGATCATATTGACAACACAAGACGACTATACATAATGACATTGGGCTGCTTAGCCCCATATAGAAAACTTGGAATAGGTATTAATACCAAACTTATTGTAAAAAGTACAAGGGTGTATATTTGATTTCAAAGACTGAGTACTACATTCTTGCAACTACTTGCTAAAAGAACTGGTAAATGTTCTAGAATTACATGGATTTTCAAATAATCATACACAAGCTTTTACAACACTGCATAAGATGCTAAAAGTGATCTATCTTTGAAAATATTTGAAGTACTGGTAACATGGAAAGTAGACTCTTGGGTCATGAGATAATCACAGCTGATTAAAAATTGTATTTATATTTTGTAAGTCCTCCATTAAGTCTAACCAACTCAAATAAGCCCCCCTCTCTCTAATGACCCCTTTTGGAGAAGAAAATTATTAAGCCCTCTATATAGCGCCCACTGTACCCTTCGACAAGCCCGCTCCTTAAATACTGCTTAAATAAGAATAAGCCCAAAGAAGATTTACAGTATTAACTGTAATCTGCTAGGAAGTGCTGTAAGAAGACCTTCATTTTTTTCGTATTTACTTTCGATCCTCTCTGCGTTCCAGGGACAGTTATGGTTGAACATGTCTTAAAGATATGTGAAAAAGATGGAAATTTTGATAATATTTACTTGTAAGTGCTACCTGGTGTATTTTTATCATTTACGCTTTCAAATTATTGTATATATAAAATGAACAAAAAACATGCAAAGTTTGGAAAATACGAGTTTCTTCCTGCGTGTGCCGTACTTCACATGCAGTGATTGCGGTCTAAAAACCGCCATGGTGCGTATAGTTTTCTCTATTGTACTGTTTTTACTTTTCAGACATGTTCAAGTGAGTAATGAAGTCGCCATTGAATTCTATCAAAAATTCGACTTTGAAATCATCGATACAAAGAAACAGTATTATAAAAGGATAGATCCCGCTGACGCCTACGTATTACAGAAAACTATACGAACGAGAAAGAGCTGAATCATCGACAATCAAGACAATAATCCCAGAAAACAGTTCTACTGAAACAACCTCAATCCTCTAGACTACAGTAATAAACGATTGAGACACAAGAAAAAACACTCTCTTATAGTTAGTACCACGCCATGGTTATGAATTCTTATTTTGTAAAAACAATGACCTGTATATAATAAAATTTCTATATTACTGCAGTTAACAAAAGCAATCTGAGCGATGAAACAGCAATTCTGGAACCCCATTTTTACTTGGAACCCCCCAAATTTCTTATCTTTCTGACTGATAGCTACTTCATTTTAAGATGACGTCATGCGTGTGCGTATCGTCTCCTCCGCAGGCATCTCTTAGGCCTGTTTCATACATCGAATTTAATTCAGACGAATTTAATCGTTATTAAATTCGTCAATTGGTCGACATTAAAATGGTTTCGTTTCAAACGACGAATTTAATTCAGACGAATTCATTTCATGACTAGCGATCATGGATTACCCAGAAATAAAAACCACGATATCAGCAAGACAGAAACAGACTTGTTGACTTTAACATAATTTATGCATTTAATTCGACACGACGATAAGACGTCGTATATGAAACGACTTAAGGGATGAAATCATCCCATTACTCAAATTGTAACAGGCTTGCCAAGAGCGTCGTCAACAATAACGAATAGGCTACCTCCAAATACCCGCTCCATAATAGGCTTGTGCCTAATCGAGGGTTTGTGCCAAATTCAATTTATAAATACGATAGACGCCCTGATATACGCAGCCTCATTATTAGGATACTAGTTGCCCAGCCTAGTTCCTGGCGTCCTTTTCGCTTCCGCCTCATTATTTTTGGGCCGGGGGAATCGACAAGGCTTGCAAGTGACCGGGTCTGAGCGCGACCCAATTCGAATATTTTGCGAAACGGACAGCCCGCAAGTTTATAACAGCCTGTAACTCGCCCGCGCTTGCAAGACCAAGGGTCTAGGCTGCTACACAAGTAAAAATCTCACAACTTGTCAACAAGATGTGTTCGCAACAGGCTTGTAACAAGCTTGTCAACAAGTTGTAACAATATTATTTTATCAAGTTGCTGCAAGGTTGTCATTCACAACTTGGTGACAAATTGTTGAATTGCAGGACGATAACAAGTTGTTGGAACAACTTGTAACAGGTCTGTAAGTCTGTTGAGCTCAACAACCTTGTAGCAAGTTGTCAACAAGCCGTTAACAACTTGACAACTTGCTACAAGGTTGTTGAGCTCAACAGACTTACAGACCTGTTACAAGTTGTTCTTGTTATCGTCCTGCAATTCAACAATTTGTCACCAAGTTGTGAATGACAACCTTGCAGCAACTTGATAAAATAATATTGTTACAACTTGTTGACAAGCTTGTTACAAGCCTGTTGCGAACACATCTTGTTGACAAGTTGTGAGATTTTTACTTGTGTAGCAGCCTAGACCCTTGGTCTTGCAAGCGCGGGCGAGTTACAGGCTGTTATAAACTTGCGGGCTGTCCGTTTCGCAAAATATTCGAATTGGGTCGCGCTCAGAGCCGGTCACTGGTTATAAGCCCATGTTACGAGTCACGAAATATATTATAATAATTAATTACTATGCAAGCATAAATTAACTATACCCAAATATAGTAGCATGATTGTATGATTCTATATGCTTCTATGCTTCTATGCTTGTATGCTTCTATGTTTCTATGTTTCTATGATTCTATGATTCTATGTTTCTATGCTTCTATGTTTCTATGCTTCTATGCTTCTATGTTTCTATGATTCTATGCTTCTATGGTTCTATGCTTCTATGCTTCTATGCTTCTATGCTTCTATGCTTCTATGTTTCTATGCTTCTATGATTCTATGCTTCTATGGTTCTGTGTTTCTATGGTTCTATGTTTCTATGCTTCTATGGTTCTATGTTTCTATGTTTCTATGATTCTATGCTTCTATGCTTCTATGTTTCTATGCTTCTATGCTTCTATGCTTCTATGTTTCTATGTTTCTATGGTTCTATGTTTCTATGCTTCTATGTTTCTATGCTTCTATGCTTCTATGGTTCTATGATTCTATGATTCTATGCTTCTATGCTTCTATCATTCTATGCTTCTATGTTTCTATGTTTCTATGCTTCTATGATTCTATGATTCTATGTTTCTATGCTTCTATGCTTCTATGCTTCTATGTTTCTATGCTTCTATGTTTCTATGTTTCTATGTTTCTATGCTTCTATGCTTCTATGCTTCTATGTTTCTATGCTTCTATGCTTCTATGTTTCTATATTTCTATGTTCCTATGCTTCTATGTTTCTATGCTTCTATGTTTCTATGATTCTATGCTTCTATTCTTCTATGATTCTATGCTTCTATGATTCTATGTTTCTATGTTTCTATGTTTCTATGCTTCTATGCTTCTATGTTTCTATGTTTCTATGATTCTATGATTCTATGATTCTATGTTTCTATGCTTCTATGCTTCTATATGTTTCTATGCTTCTATGATTCTATGGTTCTATGCTTCTATATGTTTCTATGCTTCTATGATTCTATGGTTCTATGCTTCTATGATTCTATGCTTCTATGTTTCTATGCTTCTATGTTTCTATGCTTCTATGCTTCTATGCTTCTATGTTTCTATGTTTCTATGTTTCTATGATTCTATGATTCTATGATTCTATGTTTCTATGCTTCTATGCTTCTATGCTTCTATGTTTCTATGCTTCTATGCTTCTATGATTCTATGATTCTATGCTTCTATGCTTCTATGATTCTATGTTTCTATGTTTCTATGTTTCTATGCTTCTATGCTTCTATGATTCTATGATTCTATGCTTCTATACTTCTATGATTCTATGATTCTATGCTTCTATGCTTCTATGCTTCTATGCTTCTATGATTCTATGTTTCTATGCTTCTATGATTCTATGGTTCTATGCTTCTATGCTTCTATGTTTCTATGCTTCTATGCTTCTATGTTTCTATGTTTCTATGGTTCTATGTTTCTATGCTTCTATGTTTCTATGCTTCTATGCTTCTATGTTTCTATGATTCTATGCTTCTATGCTTCTATGCTTCTATGTTTCTATGCTTCTATGCTTCTATGATTCTATATGATACTATGCTTCTATGATTCTATGTTTCTATGTTTCTATGCTTCTATGCTTCTATGCTTCTATGTTTCTATGCTTCTATGGTTCTATGGTTCTATGCTTCTATGATTCTATGCTTCTATGCTTCTATGCTTCTATGTTTCTATGCTTCTATGATTCTATGTTTCTATGATTCTATGATTCTATGATTCTACGATTCTATGTTTCTATGCTTCTATGCTTCTATGTTTCTATGTTTCTATGATTCTATGTTTCTATGCTTCTATGCTTCTACGCTTCTATGCTTCTATGTTTCTATGCTTCTATGTTTCTATGCTTCTATGCTTCTATGCTTCTATGCTTCTATGTTTCTATGCTTCTATGCTTCTATGTTTCTATGCTTCTATGATTCTATGTTTCTATGCTTCTATGCTTCTATGTTTCTATGCTTCTATGCTTCTATGATTCTGTGCTTCTATGTTTCTATGTTGCTATGCTTCTATGCTTCTATGTTTCTATGCTTCTATGGTTCTATGGTTCTATGTTTCTATGATTCTATGATTCTATGATTCTATGATTCTATGCTTCTGTGCTTCTATGCTTCTATGATTCTATGATTCTATGCTTCTATTCTTCTATGCTTCTATGCTTCTATGCTTCTATGTTTCTATGCTTCTATGATTCTATGTTTTTATGCTTCTATGATTCTATGCTTCTATGTTTCTATGCTTCTATGATTCTATGATTCTATGCTTCTATGCTTCTATGATTCTATGTTTCTATGTTTCTATGCTTCTATGATTCTTTGCTTCTATGTTTCTATGATTCTATGTTTCTATGTTTCTATGCTTCTATGCTTCTATGCTTCTATGTTTCTATGATTCTATGTTTATGTTTCTATGATTCTATGATTCTATGTTTCTATGCTTCTATGATTCTATGTTTCTATGTTTCTATGCTTCTATGCTTCTATGCTTCTATGTTTCTATGCTTCTATGTTT